TGTCACGCTTGTACATGTATACTCCACGCCATGTACACTGCGGTTCTATAAACACAGCAAGCAAATCGACACTGAGTGCCAGTTTGTTTCCAAAAGCGTGTCAGGGTGTCTGTCTTTGTTTTCGCAAAAGCGTGTGAGTGCCTGTCAACGTTTCTGGGGTTTGTTTTCGCAAAAGTGTGTGAGCGTCTGTCAACCTTTAAGTTTGTGGCGCTCACAAGTGCATCCTTTTTTCCACCAGATCAGATTCACATTAACTCCCCTTTTGGGAAAATTCTGCGATCCTGGGAAACCGAAGCAGAACGCCATGTAGGCCAAGACCCCGACACGCCTTGCGTCGGAGATTATTCCAGCAAGACCATTGGGCGCGTCAGCGCCAACAATGACCACCTGACCATTCTGTCAACGCCAGGATCTGTGGACTCCAGTTGATGGAGACATTCAAGCGGCCTGCAATCTTCATCGCAAGCTATTCCAGGTCTGGGCTTCACTAACCAACCATTGGTTTACTAGGAGCGAGCTAGACTTGAGAACAGAGTAGTAGACTCGATCCAATGCCTTGGTCCACGGAATGGCTCCCCGACTTTACATTGGCTTTTGACTTTTGGCAAAAGCATTGAAGCACATCAAAACCCCATGAAAACAAGTGAAACTTAGGTGCTTTCGATGGATGAGGGGTCATTGACACCGGAATCATTGGCACTATTAATGAAAGGACATTAAACCAATAGAGTTGCACCCATGAAAACAATTTTATAAACCTATCTAACACTAAAACTTTGGCCTTGTTGGAGGGACAGATCTTTGGTTAGTTGTTGGAGGGACAGATCTTAGGTTACTGAAGCCACATTCAGCACACAAAATCATACCAGCCACTTTCGTTTGACAGCCACCAGTGATTTCTATACAGCTCGAGGGGCTGCTGGAGGGTATTAAGCCGCTCCAAAATGAACGGCCTCAAATTTCCGATGGCCGATCTGTGATCTTGGTCGCCGCAAAAGGTGAAGGCACGGAAGGCTTTCAGGAGCAGCCTTCCCATGGCCAAAGCATCAGGATGATGCCTAAAATGGTGAAGAGCTGCTTCCACCAAATCTGCAAGCTTTCCTGAAGATTGTGGGTTAACGACAGATTCAATCTCAACCCTCATGACGGATTCAAAATTACAAAACGGAACCACCCCGTTTTAAACCTCACCAAGTTGCGAGTGTTGGAGCGGATGTGCAAGATGTCCTCCATGCACTCGGTGATGATCACCTTGATGTGAAAAGATCCTGGGTAGGCAGCTTGAAGATCGGCCACTCTGTGATAGTGCTCGTGAAGGTCAGTGATCTGGTCGTTTGAGAAGGTGTCCTTCCTCAGCACTTAACATTTCAACTACCAAAACCACCTACCACAGGGGCAACACGAATCCTAATTGAAAACTCGCCAAACAAACTAATTGAAAATTTCATGAAACCCTGCCAGAGCTCATCAACACTACCAAGTTCACCATGCGTTGCGCTTTGCCAGTTTGAGTGAAGTCATTCAACTCCTGGAGGAAATCTGCCCAGCGCAAAGCGGCAGCCATTGCACACACGAAAAAAACAAACTGTACAGTGAGGCTGGAAACTTGGTCCATCAAAAGTTCATCCATCCATCAAGAGTTCTTCATCCATCAAGAGTTCATCATGTCTCTACTCATTTAGGTAAAGACCATGAAGCAAATAGCGCCAAAGCAAGCAGTTCATCAATTTTCCAACAAATGGCGGCTCATCACATATCGTTGGAGTACCAGCAGCGTTCACTGCCTGAAAAGGGAAGATTGTTCATACTAGATAATGATGTAAGAAAGGATGGTGTGGAAAATAACATAACTAAAACTACTAGTGTTACTAGTAGTGGTGGTTCATACTACTGGTGGTAGCAATAGTTGTAAAAAAGTAGTAGTAGTCGTCGTAGTCGATTTTGACTGTGATCATTTGATTTTGACTGTGATCACTCTGATGGTGATAGAGGTGTAAGTGTGAAGGTTGCAAATGTGTGCGTCGATTTTGACTGTGATCACTTGATTTTGACTGTGATCACTCTGTTGGTGATAGAGGTGTAAGTGTGAAGGTTGCAAATGTTTGCAAAGCATTGTGAACAGGGAAGTTTATCGAATCTGCAGATGATTTTGAGCTCTAGAGTTGGAGTATCTAGAATGGGCAAGTAGTTACAAACAACCGCCACTAGATGTTCAATCTATGAACACATCATTCTACTACTACTACCTGCTATTACAACAACTAATACTGCTATTACCACTAGTGCTACTACCACTATCACACAATGGAAATATTCAGAAGTTTGCCTGCAAAGGTTCCAGCCGCAAGGTCCTGCAGGTCAAACAAAATGCTGCCCAAATGCAGGTCCAGCGCTGAGAGTGCAAGGACTAATTGCAATGCAAAACAAATGCAGTAAATCACAATCACATCACAATCACAATCACAATCACAAAACTTCGGAATGTTGCATTTTTTCCCCAAAGTTGCCACCAATGCCCCTGGTTTGTAACGCATCAATGCTACCCAAAATGAGGTGGCTACCCAAAATGCTACCAAACGCATCAATCAGCTCCGATTGAGCCATGGCCTTTTCTGGCCAGCATGATCCTGGACCTAAGATCACTTTCCATCCAAGCCGCGTTTGCCATCTTGAACTTTTGCTGCTGCGTCCACTCAGAGTTGTTCTTGTGCTCCTTAAAGAAATCGCCGATAAACTTCTCCTGAGCTGCTGCTGTGAAACACACGACATTGACAAACATATGTAACATAAGAGAAACAGGCAGTGTAGTAGGCGCACACAGGTGGCATGAATGGACTGACTCATTGATGAATGCTGTCAAGGGACACGAGCATCTTTCAGGGTGAGAGGTCTGGAACTGGAAGAACTCGACCCTTCAGCAGCAGCTTCAGGGGCAGCGGCAACAGGTGGTGGTTCTGCAGGGTTCTTCGGCACTCCCTTCGATTGAAACTTGTTGTGCCAAATGTTGGAGTTCTCTATTGCCCGCAGGCGTCGCACCTCCTTGAGTTGCGCCTGCCCCTGCGGACTGAAATCCGCCAGTCGTGACCCTTTCTTGAAACGTGGATCCCGCAGCAAGTCCTCCTCTTTGTCAAACGCAACCTTCTTGTCATCAACCTCAGGCTCAACACCCTTCTTGTCATCCTCAGCATCATTCTTGACAACCTGGACATCCTTCTTGTTCTCGATCTCATCAGCCTCCTTTTTGGCACCATCACCACCAGTTGGAGCACCTGTTGAAGTGATGTTCTCGTCAATGTCGTCCTGGCTAGGAGTTTCGTCCCCCAAGATAAGTGTTTTCGCATCATCAAAATAGCAATTTGGTAGCTGCGAATCATTGTTTGGGCTCTGAGAAGGACCTTTCGGAGAAGCTCCATTTGGCACCTGCGAATCATTGAGCGGGGTCTGAGAAGGACACTTCTGGGAAGCTCCATCTGGCACCTGTGAATCATTGAGTGGACTCTGAGAAGGACGCTTCGGGGAAGCTCCAAAGTCAAAGGCACTCTTTCGCTTCAACTTGCTATTCCCAGGGAGCAAGGCGAGCATGGAGACAGAAAACTCAGAATCTGGAGGAGTCCTTGGACACGCAGTTTCTGGCATGGTCACAACTGGCCTGGCCATAGACACCTGCATTGTCGTTGGAACAGGTAGGACACCATGGGATATGTTCGCAAAGCTTGACTGCTGCGGCGCATTGCCACCACTGAACTCAATATCCTCATCGGAATCAATCACGTGGGTCATTTCCACAGAAGCTCAAAGATGTAGCCGACAAGGATGTGTTCGCAAGGCTTTGATCCACAAGACTGACCAACAGCACACAGAAACAGGTTATGAAAGATAATGGTTGTGATGGCTTCGAAAAAGCTCAAAGACGGATTTTGAATCAAACGATTGAATGTGACTGAAAGTGGTTCTGACAAAGTAACATCAAATAGTTGAGATTGAGCAAAGGGTGTGAGAATGTAACGGCACAGATATTTTCCTCATCGTGATCTGAGCTGGACCTGTTGGCTGGACAACGTTTGTCCCTAGTACCCTGACAGTTGACCTCAACAGATCAAATCAAAACCTACAAGCGTGTTCAGTGGGCAACAACAATCATCATAGTGCGACTATGAACTACGAAACAGGGCTTTCAATTCTTCTAGAGACCATGTTTCATATGTTTCAAGCCACTGAAATGCAAAGTCACCTTTGCACACACTAAGCTGTAAAAACTCACACGACTCGCTGAACTTCATTCTTGTCCAAGCTCAGGCCTTCCACGAGGAACCACAAAGGCTTCCCTGGGGCAACCATAGACTCGTTCTTGTAGATGCGAAGCCTCCATGCCTTGTATCAGAACACATATTTACTGGCAGTCAGCCCCTGTCGCATTAGATTCGTATCTAAACAAACATAAGCTGCTTCCAAAATGCCAACTTCAGGGCTGGGCTCTCTCTCAAGCTCTGAGCGGAAACGAAGCTTGCTGCATTGGAATGCTTCAAGCTCTTCAGCTGCACTGAGTTGGCTTTCCAACACATGAAGGAACCGTCTTTGGGAGAAATGTTGAACCTTGGATTTGTTCAAGGCAGTAAACACACACAGTGAACAATCGACATTTCCTTGATAACTTAAAACCTAGCTGACACACTGTGAGCAATCGACATTCCCTTGATAATTTAATGAATCCTAGCTACTGGTCGTCTGCATCGCCGCGCAATACATCTGATGGACGCTGGGCTGTATGGCCGCCCAACTCAAAGTCGACCAGGCCAGATGCCTCCACAGCTTGGAGGCATTCACGGAGAGTCTTCAAGGAGCTGTCTGACCCATCCTCTTCCTGTCAAATCAAAGTAAAAAGTAAAGTCGAAGTAGAAGTAAAGCAAGTAAAAGTACAGGCAAAGTAAGTCAAAGTAAAGCAGAAGAAAAGTCAAAGTCAAGGCATTTGCAACAACATCACTCCCAACCCCATCGAACAGTCATTGTTCATACATCAAATGACCCCCTGCCTCCAGAATGCACAGGCGCTGGTCGGACTCAAACTTTGCAACATGAGCCTTGTCAGGGCTGTCTTGCAGCATCTTCTCAGCTTTGGTGTCAAGGAGCCAGGAGCCTGCTCCATGTGACAGAACCGGGCCCTCATTGCAATCACATGTTCCAGCGACTGGAGCACAAAGGAAGAACTTGGGCCCTTCAACGACTTTGATCACAAATCCACTGCTTCCCGGAGCACTGATGGTCGATGACGGTTCACCGTACTTGGCCACCAAATCTGTAAGAGTGCGAGGCTCACCTTCAAAGATGTGCTTCCAAGGACTTGCATCCGTGGCAGGGGAACCAGCGGGAGTTGCAGGAGCAGTCGCGGGAGTCGAAGGTGCTGCAGCAGCAGGTGGTGTTGATGCGCTTCCATGCAGCTTTTCAAAGCTCTTGAGCAGTTTCTTCCACTCTGCAGATCTCAGCGGGTCACCAAGAAACTTCTGCCGCACATCACTGGGTATGGTCAACTTCCCCTCGACTTCCTTGCACACAAGCAAGTCTGGAGGAGTCACTGTATCTGGGAGACCTGGGGAATCTGGCACATACCTGGCACCCTTGATCATACCTGAGTCCCTCTTCCATTCCTCCAGCAGGTGGCTGCGCAAAAGTTTTGATGCCAGCTTGTGGCACGCCAAGTCCATGGTGAGGCCGATCACAGGGCATGAAAGCTGCACCGCAGCCTTTTCCCAAGCTGCGTCATAGCTTGTGGCATGGTAGATGATGGTATGTTTCCCACCTAAGCAGTGCAAATCAAATGGATGTGGCTGCAAACAACGTTGATTCTGTACACAGTATGTTTTTGATTTTGCTCTGATTTCACTATGACTGTGATTGCAAATTGCAAAGGAGATTGTGACAGAACTTCCACACAGTTGTTGTCGTTGTTGTTGTCGTTGTTGTCGCTGGCTTTGTGCATTTGTTTTGTGATATTGACGATTTTGACAAGATGACAAGTCGACAAGTTGAGGGCAGCACTGACACCACCAACACCCAAAGCTTCAAGCATCTTGAGTGGAATGTCGACACCTGACAACCATTGCGCGGTCTCCTGGAGGTCCGTGTAGTTCTTGCGCTGGTCATTCGAGGTCAGCTGCCCTTTGGTAACTGGGGCAACATACTCGTTCTCTGCGAGTGGGCTCGGCAATGGGTCAGGCAAGCTCTGGTAGCGCCAGGCATGTGAAGCCACGAACCTCAGTATTGACACATGAAACCAACATCGCAAAACAACTGTCAGGAGCAATCATGAGTTGATCAGATTCCTACACTAATCAGGTAAAGACTCCAGTCAAAATCAACCACAACCAATCAGATTTGATATTTGTTTCGAGCTACGCATTGATGTCTTCTTTCCCTGGCTTTGCTGGTGACGACTCAGAACCGCCACTGTGACCAGACCTTGGGAGTCTGTAGTTGACTCCTTTCAAAGGCAATGTGTGATCTGGGACGACCAACATCGAGCTATAGCAAGCAGGCTGTTCTGAGTTTCCATGGAGGTTGCTCAAATTGATCGCCAAGTGGAACGGCCGGAGCGCCATCTGGTATTGCAACAGCTTATCTTCGATCCTCCTTGCGCCACTTGACAGACTGCAGTCAACCAAAGGACTTCCTTGAACCACTTGACAAACAGTCAGCCAAAGCAAGAAGCAAACAAAATCATTCAGTCCTTTGGTCCTGCCGTAGTGATGCTCCAGCAGCAGTGCCAGTGAGAAGTGGACAAATGACCACACCGATGGCACCTGATGCTGACGTTTTACAATGTGGCTGAATGCGACAATGTGCGGCAAATGTGAAAGCAAATGTGGCTGACATTTTGAACGCAACCCGTCCAAGATATTGAAGTTTAGGTACGGAGGGGGTTCTTGGCGAGAACGTTCGACATCCACTGTGCATGTTGGTTGATGTCTTGTTGCCCGATGCAGCCAAGCTTGGTAAAACCAATCACAGCCACATAATGGAGATCATCCATCGCAATCTGGCAACATTTGAAAGAACTGCACTTTGGCAATGTTTGAACAAACACAATCAAATTGTTGAGTATGCAGTGGCAGCTCAACACAGTACTCAACAGGCCTGCCATTCTGCAGCGCTCCTTCTGCAGAACTTCTCGGATGACGGTGCGTTGTTGATGTCTGGGACCAGTTGAATCATGCAACTAGCGTCGCAGAACTTTTCCACAAGCCTCAGTCAAAAGAGTTTTCAAACGAACTTTTCCACTAAAGTCAAAAAGTTTTCAAAAGCACCCCCCAAAAAAGCGTGGAAGGAACCAAGTAGATCTTGAGCCAAGTAAATCAAGGAACTCCAGCCCCTTAGCATTTTGCTCCTTTGCATGCTGAACTTCAACAACATGCGCCAGGCTGGCTCGCTTGGTCTTCGCTGCGTTGAAAGCCGTCCATGCGCATTCATCCTTCCTGGTCAGGGTACATGGAACAACACCAAACCATGAGTTATTGAGTTATGAACCACCACTACAAAGTATCAAAACAACAGCTGTCATGAGAAACAAAGCTACGCCAAGGTTCGCAATTTTTGCCTTAAGTGATGCAAAGGCTGCATTTTCCAATTCCTCTTCTTTCTCCTCCACAGTCTTCTCATCAACAGCAACTCCCATTGCTGTCGCCGGCGTCTCCCTTTGCACCATCTCAGTCCACAAGCAAAGGTTTTTCACAGTCCATCCGGCCGGCTCTGCCTTGATGATGGCTTCAATCTCTTCGAAGTAGTCCCTAGCGATAAGTACCCAGGCTAAAAATTGACTGTGAGTCGGGTCTGTGTTCGCTTGGTATGTATATATATATACCCTAGAAAATATTTACCACATACGACCCCTTACTACCCAAAAATGTAGTGAACATGAGAGCAAGCGTACACAGTTTATGTACATGTTTACCGAACATATTCTGATTCAGAACTACGATTGAGAAACCACGATTGAGAAACCAAGATTCAGGGTGGAGTGTATAATATATCATGTTTTGCTTCCTCGCGACATCTGCTATAGTTTCTGAATCAGGCGGTAGTTTCCGAACCATAGTTTGATGTTGCATACACATTCAGTTAGATACAAAAAGGAATAACTGTACCCAAAATGATTCTGTGAGTCATCAGTTGGTTTTGAAAGGGTCACATGATAGACCTGAATGTGACAAAGTGTTGAGTTGTTGAAACCTGTGATTTACGAATTGCCTGTGATTGGATGAGTCTGAGTGTGATTGGATAGAACTCTATAGATTAATTTGCGCCAAGAAACAGGTCCAGAAATGCCTTCTTGATGGTTTCCAAATCCGGAGCGTCTGCCAAGAGAGAAGCTTCTTTCAAGACATGTGCGTAGATGCAGGCGAAATTGATGTATGCGTCCCAGTCTTGCGCACTCAGCCTGCACCGCGGCCTCTGGTTCGGTCGGACTTTTCGCGTCTTGAGGTGGAACTGGTGAAAGACCAAGGCCAGGAACATCTCCTGCGAAGTCTCCGTGACTGTGAGCAAGACTTTGAAGTGAGGCTGGCATCCACGCGGCACAGCTTTCAGAAGCCATCTCGGCTTTCTCAAAAGCTCCGATGTGAGGGCGGATTGGCTCCACTTGAATTTGTGAAGATGGTTGGCAATGAGTTCCCTGCATCCCGCCGATGTTGCTGTAATCATGTTCAGGATGCTCTGGACCTTATCTTCGTCCAGGAACCATGTCTGCAGCATCCCATTCGTAGAGTGGAACTCCTGGACCACCTTACGAAGGCGGTCTTCCGCCGACCAATCCTTCGAATGTAGGCCCTGCATGGACCGAGTTTCCATGATGGCGGAGAACCGTAATGACATTTGAAGGACATTCGGCGGCTGGCGCTCGCCGCCACGAAAGCTCAGCATCATGTTGGTATAGCTGGATGCAACAGCATCCATGTTCATCCTGACCTCAGGAAAGCTCAGATTGAAAATCACAAGTGAAAGCAACATTCACAATCACATCATTCTCAAATATGCCTCTTGGGGTTACACATTCATTGACAATCACAATCACAAATTATTGAACACATCACAATACCAGAATCAATCAGGCCACACAAGTTCATATGTAAGATCATGAATCCAAGGCGCATGGACTGGCAGTAGCCACCCCTTGTCCAAGATGTTCGCAAAAGGCTCCAGAACCTTCTCGCTTTCAGGCGTGATGTCATTGTCGCTTGCAAGCAACAGGCCAAATGCGACGCACTGAACCTTGGTGTACCCTTTGACTATGCGGATGCTCAGTGGCGTTATCTCGGCTGACTGTCCTGTCTCCAAAATTTGATCTCCAAACATGGTCTCTCGTGCAATGTTTTGGATACTGGGGATACATGAACATTTGCACGAGGCTGCTTGCGCAAGATGAAAGCAAAAAGCAAGCAGTCCTGCAGGCACATCCACCTTGGCTCACCAACAGCCAAACGAAACAGTTACGATGTCAAATTCACTACAGTCACGCATGCGCAATCCATCTTTAAGACCCTTGCTGTCACATCGATCGGCTCTCTGGACAACTCCACCCCTGAAAACAGCATCCCTTCAAAGACCGTGAGCCAATCTTCCAGAACTGGCAGTCCGTCATCTGGAAGGCTGTGCCTGAGCTTAAGAACAGAGCACATCGTATGCTCAACATTGTTACATTGTTCAACCAAGAGCAACCGACTTTCGGATTGCCTCCAAGACACATCAAAGCGGTGATGGGCACCTTGATGACATCACCATCCATGTGGCTATGGATTACCTTGCAAAGAACACATTGACATGTAGTTGTTTGGAAGAAGTCGTGGGACAATGAGAAGCAACAAATCATACATGCGTACATGCATACCTGCAAAGACACACGCATGCAATCATAGACGCATACAAACATTAAAACCTACATACTCACAAACATACAACAAACCAAGTAAATAAACAATCAAACACACAGGCAAACAAACAAAAATAAGCGAGCAAACAAACAAGCAAACAACCATACCATACCATACCATACCATACATACATACATATGTACGTACGTACACACAGAAAGACACCATTGATGCCAATGTGAATGAATGAAACCATTCAGTATGTTGTATAGTTTGTATTGTATAGTTTGTAGACATCTCTGTGTGGTATGATAATGGTATTTCAATGCAAAAAGGCAACATAAACAGGGTCAATGTGATCAAAAAGACGTTGGGAATGTGTTTTGACAAAGGCGCCAATCCTTGAAGCTCTTTGAACATGACTTGATGTCCGTTTGAATTCCGCATCTTGGCATAGTCTTGGAACCACGCTTCAAGTCCAGCCGCATTATTCTGCACCACCTCCGAGTGCCTATCACCAAGGGCATGTAAGACTGCCTCACCTGGGTGCAAAGCTCCCTCAAACACTGCGGTGTCAGATTTCAGCAGTTACAGCACACCGAGGAGCTCCTGCTTCAAAATTACTAGACATCACATTCAAGAATCTGCGCATATCAAACAACTTGTTAAACAAATCTGTTCATTCAGTTGTGTAATCTTCTGAAGTCTCCTTCATCACAGTCAGATCGCCTGGCATCTTCTTGAGTTGCTTCTCATAGGGTGTGCACAGGACCTTTGCAGGCGGCCCACTCTCCACCTTTTCATGTTTCTTGACCAGGTCCATCCATGGCTTCATTGCCATGATTGCAAGGCAACTGGACCAGCTCGGGCCCAAGAAGCTCTTGAGCACACATACAATAACATACGTTCCTGTACGGGGTCCATTGATTTTTTTAACATGATTTCGTGTTAAAATCAATCGACCTGTGCCCGGCGGCTACATTGATCCTTTCACTACGTAGGGTCTGAAGATTGATTTCAAAACAGAAACTGAACATTGAAATCAATCCCCAATGTCTACGTTCTGAAGAAATCAATCGACCCGTGCCCGACGGTTACATTGACTTTTATGCTGGATTTTGAAAAATCAATCGACCTCGTCCTTACCCCTGATTCATGGACATATGACAAATCAGCTCGGTCCTCCAAATCCATGGCCAGATGATCCCTCCTGGTCAGTCGCTCAAAATCTTTGAAAATCAATCGACCCGGGGCGAGGGGCTACATTGATTTGTTGAAAATCAATCGACCCGGGGCCAGCGGCTACATTGACTTTCTCGATCCGAGGGGGGGGTACATC